CTTGTAGGCCCCACTCCGGATTGTATTAAACTAATCCAAACTGTCTATTTTGTAAATACTCATTCAAAGATCATCTCCACAAAAAATCACTTGAATTTTGATATCATTTGACCACTCAATTGAATTATTGAAATTTTAGTACTTTCTTGACCGTATTCGTTGATTTTGTAGAACACAATTGGATGTCGAAACAGTTTCCGATTTGTCTAATTTTTTGTAAGGATGATCTATGAATGAAGACCTAAAAAATATATGGTTTGGATTATTGGGAAAAAAATTGTATGGTACCCTAAAGGGCATCCCTCAAATAAAATTATTTGAGGGATCCCTCAATAGAAGGGGACTGTATATATATATATATGTATATGGGTAAACTGCCAAATACCCCCCTGAACTATCACACTAGTTGAAATCTACACCCTGAATTAATTTTTCATTCAATTTAACACTCGTACTAAATTTTATCACCAATTTACTCCCCACCGTTAGTTTCTAGCAATTTCCATCCAAATCTCTGTTAAAAAAGTCACATGTCAGGCATATGATTCACTGTTGAATTAAAAATTGATTTTTTAACCTCTCTCTTATTCTCTCTCTCTGCTAGTCTCGAACCCATATGGGGATTCTAAATTACAAACCCAAATCACCAAGATCTTGTGACCATGGCCTAAATTACAAACCCAAATCCCATTCCTCCAACAAGGGTACTCGCTGGTATATTTCTATATCTCATTCCTCCAACACCATTGGACAAGTTTGTCTTTTTCTATTTATCCCTTTCTACCAAGATAGCAAAGACACAAGAGTCATCACCACCAACTTCCTCCGACCTTCAATTAATAATTATATTGTTGCATAATTTCTCTTTCTCCTTCTTGCCCTCCTCAAAATCCGTTGTGTCTCTTCCTCTTTGGCCATGTGTTTCCTCTCAGGTTAGAAGAATTTTTTTTAATTTATTTTTAAAACCAAGTATAAGTTCACCCTGGTCTCTCATCCTAGCCCCTCCTTGTCCCTTCTTCTCTCCCTTCTTTGAAAGTCCTGGGTCCATTAATTAAGCTTTCAGTAGTGAGACCCCACATGTCCCTAGGGTTCAACTGAAGCATTTGAATGGATGTTAAAAGGCTTAGGTGGTTAAGTCCATGAGAATTTCTAGGTTGAAAAAAGTTAGGTCAAGAGAGATCAGGTTTTTCTATGCTTAAATTGGCTTTATTTCTTTAATCTGGGTAAACTATCAAAGAAATGGGGAGAGGGGAGATAGAAGGAGAGAGAACAAGAGACAAGGAGATAGCGAGAGGGTTCGTTGGGTAATCTAGGTTGAAGGGTTGGCATGTGTCATTCACATGGTGTTTTTAACAGAGATTTGGATGGAAATTGCCAAAAACTAACGGCGGGGGGTAAATTGGCTATAAAATTTAGTACGAGTGCTAAATTGGCTGAAAAATTAATTCATGGTGTATATTTCAACTAGCGTGATAATTCAGGGGGTATTCGGCAGTTTACCCTATATATATACACTATATATTATGCATAAAGTATTATATCACTTAAACATTAAAAAATAAAATAAAAATGTAGTCCCAATCCAAGGATACACCAAACACATGACAAGTATTATTCAACTTAAACTAAGACAAGCTAAGCCAATACAGTTCCTAAACATAGTTCATGTCAAGACAATCATGTGTAACAAACAAGGCCTTAATGAATTACTTTACAAAGTCATCGTGGGTTTTTAATCCTATCTTGGAGTTTTCTCACGTTAAAACCATTGCACACTTTATTTTTATTGCTTGTTAGTTTCTTTGTTTTTAAACTAGATTTAATTGGGTAAAACTAAAATTAGCATTTGGTAAAAGCCTATTCACTCCCTCTAGGCTTATAGGTGGATTAGCTATGCAATTTCACCTTATTCACCTCTAAAGGTAAAATTGACACAACAAAACAAGTAATAAAATTCACAAGATCTGCATTTACAAATAATAATAATAATAATAATAATAATAGATGTGGAATAAACTTAATAGCAGTTAGTGTTTTGGACCTAAGTCTAATAACCCTAGCATAAATACCAATTAGCACTTAATCTAGCAGTGCTTCACCACTTATGTATTGCAAAATGTCCATAGTTCGAATTATCTTTATCCATCTCCCATAATAAAATAAATAAAATTCATAAAAGCTCTTTTGAAATTATTAAAATAATTGTTCATATGAATATGGGTGGACCCCATTAAGTTTGTATTTGGAACCATTTCCCACACCTTTTGCTCATGGCAAACATTAGGCGGAACCCATACCTCCCAATTATACTTTTTCATTTCTCCTATGCAGTTTAGTCCAGACATCCAACTTATTTTATATATTGAGCTTTTCACATGGCACATTATAACATAACATTTTATACAAAAATTCTTAAAAAGCTTATTTACAAAGAGGGAAAAACCTCAACTAGCCATTTGCCATTTTCTAATTGGTTAGTGTATTACAATTTTTTCACTTGAAAGTACATAAAATTTTTCTAAAATATTGTACTTGAAGGATTTTTATTTTATTTTTTAAATGTCATGTTAAAATGGACCTATTTGTAAAAAGTAATTTACATATTAAGTCATCTCTTCTAGCCCAGCCCACCATATCATAGTGGATAGTTGGTAGGCCCATTTCTTGCAAAATAAAAAATTTATATATCTCGCGTTTCATACATCTTTCTCTCTTCATATGATGATAGATATAGAGAGAAAGGTGAATAAAACATGTGTTACGTGAAAATTTTACTCTTTACTTGGGAGACAAATCATGTTACAGGGGTTATGGCCCGCAGGCTCATGATCTGATGGAGGCACGCCCAAACCAATGAGGAAAAGTCCAGCCCGACCCGTTTCGGGCCATGTATTATTAAAGTTCAATAGGTTGGTAAAGTTTAACAATATTGGGAGAGTTGCTTATCAAAACTAAAAGCAGAACAAGAAAAAGAAAAAAAAAAAGCGGGAAAATCCAGTAATCTTGCTTCATATACATGATTTATTTTTTTTTCTACTTTGTCATTTAAGTAGCAAAACAAAATTGGAATGAACCATTTCCATGTAAATTGTATACATGAAAAAACCTCTCTACACTCATTTCGGCCAGCATCAACCAGCAGTGAAATGAAAAAAAAGAAAAAGAAAAAAGGTAATAGAATTACATTGTTTGAATCAAAGGAAGAATTTGTTCCATGATCAATCAATCAAACCACAGTGGTTATGCCATTGTATCTTGGTCTAGTTCTATCAGGTGAAAGCCCCTCTTCCATGGCCTTCCTCTTGTTACTGTTTGCTGGTACTGGGGGTGGTTGTTGTTGTTGTTGTTGTTGATCTACTGCTTGTTGATCCTGCTCCTGTGAAGCCTCTGAGCTTTCAGATGATTCTTCTTGTTTTTCTTCATTTTCTTCCTTTCCTTGGTTTTGATCCTTGGACTTGGTTTTCATGATATGGGGTCTAAGCCTACTCAAGTCTGATAGCCTCACTGGCTTTAAGAAAAATTCTTCAGCCCCTTCTTCTAAGCATCTGTTACCAACCACATCAATTCATCAATTCATCAATTCCACTTCACAAACCAAAATCCCAGATTCCTACAATATTCTAAATCTCCAAGAGAAAGAAAAAAAAAAGAAAAAAAAAACATGCGAATCAGGTAAGCCCATATTATTTTTCTCCTCTGTTGTTACCTGTTGATTCTTGAAGGCACATTCTCAGATGACATGATCACAACTGGTATGTTTCTCAGAGATGAAGATTCCTGTAAAAACAATCAAAATCCCATTAATTTCTAGAACAAACATTTTTCAAAAAGATCATGAACAGATTTGTAATTTTGATGACAAGAGGACCCATGTAAAACAAAGGAAATCTTCTGACATCTAGAACCTGATCTAATTTGGGTTGAAAATTGGTGGGGAAATATTCCAAGAGAATTTTAATTGATATTCAAAACCAAGTGGTAAAAGGAAGGACAATTGTCAAACTCTAGTGGATAGATGGAAAACTCAATGGGAAAAGATTGAGGAAAAAGCAAGGGAATATAATGATGAAGGAGAAAAGAGACAAAGGAATAGAAAATAAAGCATACCTTGATTTTCTTGAGCAAATCATATCCTGTCATGCCAGGCATACAATAGTCTGTAATAACAAGATTCACTCCCACTTCCTGCAAAAACACAAGAAAACAAAATAAATTTAGAAACCCAGAAAGGAAAAGTTGTGGGAAATTAGGAAGAAAATAAAAATGCTCTGGGAATCTCAGACATTAAAGAAGAGAAGAATCCATCAATCAGTCAATCATAGTACCTGTTGATTGCTTGGGGAAACAGAAGGTGAATCTGGACTGCTTTGGTCATCCTCATACAAACCCAGAAACTCTAGAGCCTTGCTACCAGAATCAACTGTAGTAACTGCAATGAAGAACAGAGGAGAATAAAAATCACACCACAACGTTAACATAATAAAACAATGAGACCCAAGATTGAAACTTGCGTTCAGATTAGCTCCCTTTGTTTTTCTTTTTTTAACTTTTTGGTGCTGTTGGGGTGGGTGGTAAGTAGAGGCAACCCAAGAAATGAAGTACCTTGATATGAAGAGGTCTTGAGGAGCCTCTCAATCAGTTTGCGATCTATGAGGCTGTCATCAACAGCTAAAACATGAAACTGTGAATCTGCAGCAGCCATCACCATTTCACCAGATGAAGAAGATTCAAGATGAAAGCAAATGCCAAAAGGCCAAGGGAAGAACAGATGGCAGTGACTGAGAAATAGCTAAAAGCCTTTGTGAGCTTTTATTTTTCTTCTTTGGTGGGTTGGTTTGGTTTTCCTATGGGAGGAGGAGGGGAAGATGAGAAATAGGGGAGCTTTGTATTGAAATAAGAAGAAGACCCACCAATATCCACATCCCACAAAGCAAGATCCGACCAGATTTCATCCCAAATCTTGTAAATTTTCCAACTTGATTTTTGAATTACAGGGCAAGCAATGCAAAAGAAAAAGAAAAACAAAAGAAAAATGAAACAAGTAATAAGAAATGAAAGAAAATAATCCCAATGAATATTTTAGTTGATGGGGGTGGTGGGTTGTATTTATACAAAAGGCTTAGACATAATGAGAGAGGGCAGGAAGATTTTGTGTGAAAAATAGAAAGTCTTGGATGAAAGCAAAAGGGTAAAAGTAGAGAGTTGAGGTGAGAGAAGAGAAGAGGAGAGAGATAGAGAGAAAGGGTGGGGGAGGTGGGGCCCACCAAAATCCTCCCAAGAGATACAGGTGACATCAGCAGAGGTGCCTTTTTCCCTGGGAGTGAAATCATGTGGCGCTTACCATATCTTGAGCAGGTGGGGGAGTGGTGGCAAAGAGAGGGCAATTTCTTTTGATTCCCTTTTAAGATTTGCTTCCCATGCATGATGATGATGGTCATCTCCCTTCAATACCCATACCCATTCCATCCATGCATCCATACATTCAACATTCATGAGCTGCCAATGCATGCGTAATAGCCACTTACCCCACCCCAAATTCCTATTAAAATTCTCTATTGGTTGAACAAACTTATCCGGCACCTAGAATCTGTTGTTCACGCGCGCATATATTGTGTCGTCGAATGAGTTTAATTTTTGAAATGTAGATAAGTTAAATCAACATCCTTTAGTTAATGACCGTGAACAAATCTTCCGTTTATGTCAATGAGGTCATACCATAGAGTGTTTGGCCTCAGACCATGTTTGAGGTTCGAAACCCACCTCTAGCATCAGAGTTTGTATTCCCTCATCCTATCGACTAGAGAAAACAAAAACAAAAACAAACAAACAAATCTTTCATTTATTCTCTAATTATAATTAACAACATTTTGAATTTTCTCATGTGTCTGCTTAAATATTTACAAATAACTCGTTACTTGTCTCACTCTTTATGAAAAAATATATAACAAATCTAAAGCATATCAAAATTACCACAGTGTTCACTTCTTCTTTTTTGGCTATTTAAACAATTTAAGAATAGGTTGTCTTTGTGTAAAACCCTAGCCCCCTATCTCCCAAAAAACACTCTAGAGCCGTTTTCACTTTAAGTGGGGAGGAAGCCACTGTTCTTCTTCCCCTCTCCCCTTCTCTCTTCCTATCCTCTCCCTTCTCCTCTCTTCCCCCATTTTCAAAGACATAAGGTTTCCCCTATTTGTCTTTGCTTTGTTACGATTTTCCTCCACCTATCATAGGTAGTTGCGTCTTAACGTTGGATCTCCACTTGCATTTCAGTATCGAATCTCTACCACTATCCTTTTTGCGGTTTATTTAGGTTTAGAATAAGTTGCAGAGACTCTTTGAGTTTTCGGTGTAGTTTTCATCTCTCCTTTTGTGAGAGTTTTTCACCTCTCTTTTTGTGAGAGTTTTCCACCTCTCTTTTGTCAAAGTTTTATTTGTATTTTTATGGCTTGGTTTTTTTAAGACTTCATCTCTTTTTAGTTGTTTTAATTTTGCAATCTTAGTTGGAATGCATATGCCTGAGTTCCTTCGATCCTGCGTGATCGTTAATGGAAGCACATCAGATTGTCTTAATTTTGATGTTAAATCGTTTTGTTATTGGCCTTTTGTGACTAGCGAATTTTTTGGTTGAATTATAAATGCAATCATAGAATTTCTAAACAAAAAAAAATTAAGAATCTTTTTTCTAATTTAAGATTGATTATGATCTAATAATATTTTTCCTAATGTTGAAAGAGGGCTTAAATTCAAAGGGTGCATTTTTGCTCACCACCTTAACCCTAGGTGTACCCTCACCACCCCTCCCAAAAGTTGACACATGTCCATGAGTTTAACTATAGTTAATTCTTATTTTTTATTTATTTGATAACATTATTATGAGAGAGAAACAATACTTCAATAAGATTTTTCCTGATTTACCCTTATTAACCTAGCAAACTTTCCACTTTTTTAAAATTAATTAACAACTCCCCAAATAATAATCTATGCTGATCTTCAATTGCAAGCTTCCTCCATTTGTTCAGTGAAAGATAGGTAATAATCTATGCTGTTTTTTTTTTATTTTTATAGTACTGTGTATTGCTTGATTATTTTTTATACTTTTGTGATTGCTCTGCGTTATTTAGTTTTTTTAGTCCATGATGTTGGTATCATCTTTACTGGTGGATCAAGACTAGCATAGAAAGGAATGATAGAATGAACCGTACTGCAGAGCCAGAGGAATGAGACAATGAAGGGTATTATTGCAGAGCTTGGTTCCTTCATCGTTTTTGGAATTTCTGCAACTCCAATATATTTTGCTCCTATGGAGTAAGCTTTATTTAGAATAATAAAACCAGAATTAATTAGTCCAAAACTTGCAACATCATAATTAACTCATCGGTTGAAGAAAGAAAACAGGTTCAAGAATATTGAGAAATTGCAACGTAATAATATATTGAAGAGCAGTGTAACTTTTGGGCGTGTATAAAAAGAGTTAACTAAAGCCAATTGAGATTCAAAGTATCTGGGTGTGTTCTTCAAAGTATTGAAGCCTGTGAATTGATATTCATATTAAAGCACGGGATATAAAGCCAATTGCCAATTATTTATTTGGGTAGTTGTTAATTAATTTAGAAAGGTGGAAAGTTTGCTAGGTTAATAAGGGTAAATCAGGAAAAATCTTATTGAAGTATTGTTTCTCTCTCATAATAATGTTATCAAATAAATAAAAAATAAGAATTAACTATAGTTAAACTCATGGACATGTGTCAACTTTTGGGAGGGGTGGTGAGGGTACACCTAGGGTTAAGGTGGTGAGCAAAAATGCACCCAAATTCAAATATCATCTTACCCATTAATTAAAAAGAACTCAAACTTGACTAATTGACAAAAGCATTCAATAAGATTCCTTTTTATTTCATCAGTAAATTAGTAATTCATTTCAAAATTGTCATCATATAGTGTGGAATCTCATCGAAATTTCAATTGACCCTCTAGAAGTATAACACCAAACCATGATGTGCATTTCACCTATGTCAAAATATCATTATCATAAGATTTTCACAATCATATGCTATCTTGTAGTATTATCACTATTCATAGGTATAAGATGGACTTAACAGATACTTAGAAGAAAAAAGAAAACACTTCTGAAAAGACTGAGAAATTAGGTAAAGTGTAAAAGATCTTATTTTGTTTTTTGTTTGTCTATGTTCACCCATTTTAGATCCAAATTAGGCCCAAAAAATCTAGAACAATATTTTCTTTTCTTTTCTAAAAATACGCAAAGATATTGTCGCAGCACTTTTTCGTGTTATTTTCGAGTCGTGTTCGAAATAGTCGCTCCTAAAATAAAGTACAATTGCAATCTTAAATTAATAGTGCTCAGAACTCTTGATTTTTTTTATAAATGGAATGCATATGCACTTTGGTCCAACAAATTTTCTTTTAAAACCGTAAGAATTGGGGAAAATAAAAAGAAGCTTCTGTTCCAAAAGTGGAACACCACATAGGGCACCATGTAAGAGATAATTTGAATTTGTTTCTATTTTTCCGTAGAAATAGAAAAAGATTCTCAGACAGAAACACTTTATTTTGTTGTACACCCTGTCACACATAATCCACACTTGTTAAAACTTGTACAATACTAATAAAGGTATGTTTTGTGGGGGCCCACTACCAAATTTGTCGACACAGCCCTGCCAATGCCAGACATGATTGTTGATCCAATGCTGCTCAGCTCCACCAACAACCATGGACCCAATGCCTAACGAATTTTCCGTTCCTAGTCTTATCATATGGTATTTCACCATATCACCGGCAGCATCATAAGGGAAAATCATTTAAATTATAAGAATATTAAAACAAATCTCAAGGATTCTTTTGTTTTTTGTTTTTTTTTTTAAAGTAAAATTATATCATTACAAAATTGAAATGATGTTTGATATTAAAAGTAGCAATGCAGGGACATCCGAAGTTTTTTTAAAAAACCTATTTGTAGCATTTACAATTACATTTTCACAACCATCTTTTCTTTTCATACACCCTTTTTCTATTTTCACGCCTAAAAAAAATATATTACATTCATAATTCAGGCATAAAAGTCGCCATGCACAAGAGTCAATACAAATACAAATAACCATGTAGAGTTAATATAAATATAAAATTACAAAGAAATCCTTTACCAACATCAAGTGCACAAAGTGTACCTCCACTCATAGTCACACAAGAACAAAGAAATTCCCGCATAACAGCCACAAGCTTGGAAAACTCAGGCAAAGACCCAGGCACACAAAACTACAACTACAACTACAACCTTTAAACTCTCATAATTAAAATATGCAAGTAGAGACTAAAAACACAGAACAAACTCAAAAAGCTGCAATACACGAAGAAAAAAAAGAAGGTTAAATACTTTTTTGGTCACTGGTTTTACATGAAATTTTAATTTGGTCACTGAAAAAAAATTATTAGCCAAATTAGTCACTATATTAACTAAAGTTTCCAATTTATAGACTTGTCATTAATTTTCCATTAAGTTTTTAGTTTAAATACCTTTTGGTTATTAGGTTTTACACGAAATTTCAATTTGATCACTGAGAAAATAAAAAATTACCCAAAATCCATGAAAATGCTATGCTCTTGCACATGCTGCACGTAAGATAAAAAATTTCATTAGTGACAAACAGGGTCTAGCCCAGTGGAAAGGGCCTTGATTTGTAGACCAGTTGTCTCAAGTTTGAACCTCCATGGTACCTTGGTAATATGTATGTGAGAAACCTCATTCTCTTTGTAGTTTAGGCTATCGTTTGTTTATATTTATAAAAATAAAAATTATAGTTGGTATAGCATCAATTAAGGCTATAAAGAGGAATTGTGTCATGACAAAATTGTTTAGACTTGAAATTTTTTCCTCTTGGGACTCACATGAGGGAATGACATGGCATTAACCCATTAAATCAGTGATTGGGCTTAAACAAAGTTGAGTAATCAAGGCAATACCAGTAAATTGAGACCAAAGACCTAAGGCTGTGATGATTTTGACTCGGGCCGAACAATGGGTTCGGTTCCATTTTTAAGATAGGAT